CCCCTATTCCTCCAGCTCTTTCTCTCTGACCCTTCTTCTCGTTCCCGTTCGTCGTCGTCGGGAGCGAATTAAGCCTTCCGTGGACCTTCCTAGGCAAACATAAATGCATATTCACCTCCCGGAGACGCTATTTCACTTGGGAGCAGTGCTTTATTTTCAGACGAGCATATTCCCGCGGGAGTAGTTTCGTAAATTAAAATCACGTCGTTGGTACTTTGTTATCGTCTCTCGCAAACTCGTAATTTTCGTGGCTTCTTCGGTCGTGTCTTCTTGACGAGATCAACTGATCGAGAGCGCTCGTATTCTAATAGACGAAACGCAAACGAGGGGCAGAGTAAATTATAATCGACAAGCAAAATGCGCGAGCGAGATCGCGATTTTCCTTCGCATTTAACGTGTAAATATAAATAATCGGTGGCGCGCTCATAAATGTACCCCACTAAATTGCGGAACTCCCCCTCTCTCGCCAGTATTCGCATCTACTGCAGCTCGGCGATAAAACGGCAGCCCGCCTCCTCCATCTCCATTTTCTCAATCCGGCCCCCGTTTGTTTGCGTCTCGCTCGCGAAATGCACGCCAGTGCTCGCTGGTGGGATGCATTGTTATGAAATTAGGTCATCCGCTTATGAGATACGCGACTCGTACCGGTGTCGCGCGTTATGAAAATTGGTCGCACGGCAACCTCCTCGTTCCCTCCTATCTCGTCGTGAAAGAAGTTCTCGGGCAAGTTACGAGAAAATATCGAGACTAGTAATCCTGTAGCGCCGGGGGTGTTGAAGAAAGTTTTAGTTAAAGATGAGATATCGAATAATGACAAATATTCTGTTGGAATTGTAATAATGAATTAAAAATATGACGTTAAGAAAAACATTAATTTCTCGTGTAACAATTGTCGATTAAATATAGCTACAAAAGTATTTCCTAACGTGCGTGAAAAGTGTTTTACAATTAAAAATTTATTTAGAATATACCTTGAAAAGCAGGAATAAAGTGAGCTCACACCTTTTGCGTATTAAGAAACACTCTGTATAATTGCTTTTCGTAATATCGCAGATTGTTATTGTCCGATCGGTCGCAATTATTACAATATTGCTATTATTGCAATATTGTAGATTGCAATCGATCGGATAATATTCATAAAATATTTATTGCGACCAGAATGCATTCTGTTTTGTTCCACAAACATGCAAAAAATTTATACGCGTCAATGTAATAATCTAAAAATATTAAATATTATTTATTTTTAAAAATTGAAACTGTATGAATGGATGTGTCTCAAGGAATCGATATTTTTTCAATCGATATTTGATTGTCTTTGTGCGCAACATTTGATGTGCGTCTGATAGTTAATATTCATCTGTACGTTATTCCTACGCAGGGTTAATTATAATAAATTGCATATATTTGATTGTACGGAGAAGTGAAAATTATATTTTATGTAAATGAGATATATGTGCACGGTACGTTGAGCATGAACGAAATAGATTCACGGGAAGAATGTCACTTATGCATGGGGTTGATTAACGAGCCAACTCTAATAGGCACTTGAGTTATACTTAATTAGAAATCGCGTAATTTATTCGGCAAACGTGCGGTATATGAGTCGAGATCGTCTCTTTCTCACGGTGCGCCCCTTTATACGGTCTACATAGAGAGACACATACACGCATTCTATACTTTTATGCCACTAATTCTTTCTGCTAGTTACATTTGCAATTTCAACTTTATTAGAAAAATCAATTCTTCGCATTTAAGAATCACGTTGTATGTACTATAAAAGGTAACGAATAACAAAGTTTCTTATAAAGTTCTTCGTTACAATCAAGATTTAGCGTTTTCAGTTATACTAATCAAGTCTCTCCGTCAATTATCTTCAACGACACGAGATGATGAATGAAAATCTTTCTTGCATATATCGGTTCGAGCTAAACTCGAGGCGTTTCATCTGATAGATCTCGTCTTAAACGAAATAAATAGCATCATTTTTCACGATTCCCACGATCACGGTAAAAGCCCGTAGACTAAGATTAATTCGATGAAGCGTCGCGAGTACAGTGTTAGGATTTTAGCTATACCACGATGAATCCATTGTGTACACTTTACTTACGCTGAAGCGCCCTTCGCTGCGATTCAGTGAGTAATTTCTGTAAAAGCTGCTGTAGTGACTTTACTCGATAAAGTGGCCCCCAGCAGCAGCAGTCGGTGCTGTGTTTTCGGGCTTTAATAGTATAAACTGTGAAATGTAAATCATGCGCATATCGTGTACAGAGCGCATCAGATTTTATTTGATGAAACAAACTATAGGATATTACGTAGCTTATCTCGATGAGTTCAATGGTTTTCATCCAGTGAATTCCATTAAACGTATCTTTTATCGCGTGTATAAATATACATACATATACAACATACATGTAATTTTTAAATAATATACAACAGAAAATATATCTCGTTTATGAAATACTCTTCGAAAAAATTGCCGATGAGAAATGTAATATAAAAAATTGGTGCAATAATTCTACGATATTGCGCGATTGAGAGAGTTGTCGATTTAATACTATATCTTTACTACTGTGCGCAGTGGTAAAGGTATCGTCATGTACAGACACTGTTCGACTCAATATAATATAATGACTTTTTATATTGAATTTTATTATTATTTCATTCCCTCGCGTGTACGCGGATGATTTATTTAAAAAATCACTGTTGTTACTTTCATATTAATTCCATTATATTAGTTTTCTATCATATAATTTGTGTACTAAAAATAATAAAAAATAATCATAAAGCATGAAAACGCATATTATTAACGCAATTGTATACATACATACATATGTATATAATTACACTAATTTTATCTATAATTATCATAATTGGATATATTTTCAGCTCTTGGTTGACTTTTAATGATGTTTTCCATTTAAAAGTTCTAGTTTCGTTATTTGCGTGTTAGAGGATCTCTGCATCTAATTTTCCTAAGGAATTTTTTGATACGTTAGATAATAATTTGCTAGTGGGGTAATACATTTCTATTACGTCCCACAGAACGCAAAGAGCATTATTTTTTTTTCAGCGCGATTTATTGAACGCGCTACACAAGCATGTTTCGCGCGCACGTCGGTTTTAATTAATGCTGCATTGTAAAAAAAGAGACATTAAAAATATTTCAACCATGTTCAGGTGCGATGTATACATTTTCATGTCAATTCGAATCTCAGGAAAAATGATTATCACACGAAATTCGATAGCCGATGCCTCCGACATTTCAGATTTCGGCGATCCGATCGTTTATAAATGATTAAATATTCGACAATTAGCCGCGTATGTGCGAGAAAGGTATATTTTTTTTCTCGTTGTATCCCCCGATTGCTCGGCGATCCTTTCTCTGTAATCAACGACCGTGCGCGGCCGTTCTCTCCCATCTCTTCTCTCCCAAGCACACA